TTTGGTTCTTTCAATATATAAATTATAAAAAAATTTCTTCCATAAATTTTAAATGAATATCTTTCAGGATAAACAAAAAAGGGATACAGAATTAATATCGGAACAAGATGATCCACTCTTAATATTTTCTACATTAGATGGTTCTTTGATCGGTATAAAACAACGTACTGGAAATGTACTTTGGCGACAAAATGATGGTATTGTTACTAGGTATAATTTGTAAAATAAAAGTTTTATTCAGTTATTCTAACTTTTTTTAAGCATTCGTTACAGAACCAATTGTCAAGGTGCCAGTTGAACTTGGAAGAACTTCCATGTAGATATATTTATACTTTCTCAATTAAGGTCTAATATTCTCTGTAATATTAAATTCTATATACGTTTCAGGCCTATGTTTTTACCAGATCCAAAGGATGGCTCTTTATACGTGTTTGGAACAGAAACCGAAGCTTTAAAAAAACTACCATTCACCATTCCACAACTTGTGGCAAATAGTCCTTGTCGAAGTAGCGATGGAATATTATATACCGGTAGAAAAATTGATACTTGGTTTGGCATCGATCCTAGAACCGGTCAGAGAGAACAACTTTTAGGATTCGATAAAGTTAAAAATACTTGCCCCGTAGAAATGCAAAATGCTGTTTTTATGGGACGTACAGAATATAATATTATTATGGTGGATAGTAAACAGAAAAATCGAAAATGGAATGTTACATTTTATGATTATTCCGCTACAAAGATGGAACCCGAAGGAATAGAAAATTATGGTTTGATCATCTTGTAGTTTTTTTATTCTCATTATTTGTCAATATATTATATATTATATCATATATTATATTATGCGTATAATAGTATAACAGTATAATTTACGTTTTATAGATCTAGTTCATTTCGCAACGAGTTCAACCGGACGGATTGTCACTGTAGATAGAAAATTGGGAATTATTTTATGGGAACTAGATGTACAGAGTCCGGTGATAGCAGTATACATCGTAAGAGAGGATGGATTGTTAACAGTTCCCTTTACCAGCGTTGCAGATGAAACTTTAAATCTCATCTTAAAACGTTTTGCGAATAAACCGAGCGATATTCAATTATTGTTAGTAATTAATATTTTTGTAAATATTTTGTTTCAAATTATCGTTATTATCATTCTATATTGTTAAGTTTCCTCAGGATATATGTTTTCTTTTCATAGCCCAACATTATACATCGGCCAACACAGACACGGATTGTATGCCTTACCATCTCTCGTTGATTTAACAACAGCTACTATATCAAATAATATTGGTCAATTATTGCTCGAAGGTCCATTATCAGTTCCACAATTAGGAAAAAATGATAATGGAAATGTACCCTTGTCTAATACATATAACAATGAATATCAGGCAGTCATTACATTAGGTAATAATAACAATTAAAAAATTATGTTTAAATGTTTAATGTTTAATATATGTTTAAATCAATTTAAAATATTGCTTAATCATTGTTCTTTGTCATTTAATTGAAAAACAGGTCATTATGAAATACCAGCTGAATATAAATTACAAGAACCGCAACCACTTCAAATTACCGGTCGATCCGATCCTGTGATCGAAACATTACCTTTACGATATTCAAATTCTACAAAACAATCATTATTCAGTTTACAAGATGATGAGAAATCTAACAACGATACAAATAACGAATCATGGCGTGAATTCGTGCAGAATATTTATACAATGGGCAAGAATTGGTTCAGTCAACAAGAAAACAAAGGATTAAAATTAACATTAATCGTATTATTAGGATGCATACTAGTAATGTTTTGGTATTTAAACGCACAATTCAAGGAATTTCAACAATTGTCTCAGGTATTTTTGCTCTTTATTTATCGTGTGTATTTATACGATAATGTATGTATATTTATACGATAATCCTTTATCCACCTATCATTAGAGGAAATACATCAAAAGATAAAACCGTACTTGAATTAAAATATAAATTAATTATCGTAGCGATTGCTCTATCAACAATATATCTATCGTTTAAAGAATAGTCAATATGTAATTTATCGATAGCGACATCGGTAGTAGAGAACATATCCGAAAAGTCGTATGCTTTATCAGATTACCGATCGACAATTTTTTTGACAGGGTTCCCGAGAAAATAACAGTACCAGTGATTATTATGGAACACGATCGAACGCACTTGTAGTTCCAGAAGATATGGGCGAAGGAATAGTAAAGGTTGGAAAGATAACTTTCGATACCGGACAAGTTTTGGGTAAAGGATGCGAGGGAACTTTCGTTTATAGGTAATGTAGAAGAAAGACGATATATTTTTTTATTTCGTTGCTTAAAATTACAATGATATCGAATTTTCAGAGGTAATTTTGATGGACGATCCGTAGCTGTAAAGCGTTTGTTACCAGATTGCTTTACGTTTGCCGATCGAGAAGTAGCGTTACTCAGAGAATCGGATGCGCACGCAAACGTTGTGCGATATTTTTGTACCGAGCAAGATAGAATGTTTAGATATATCGCATTAGAATTAGCCGAAGCGACTTTACAAGATTACGTGGCAGGAAAGTACGATAAAAAAAAAATATCGACAAAAAGTATTCTACGACAAGCTACGTCAGGATTAGCTCATCTACATCTTCTTGACATCGGTAAATTTTATACGCTTCGATATTCATTATACGAATATATGAATATATATCGTGAATAGCAAGGATAAATTCAATATTTGACAAAATTCTCAATAGTAAACTCAAGTTAGTAATCTCATATACACATATATATATATATGCATTTAACATAAGATTTTAATATTTTAATAGTGCACAGGGATATAAAACCGCACAATGTGTTATTATCGACTCCGGGACCTCGTGGAGAAGTGAGAGCTATGATATCAGACTTCGGATTATGCAAAAAACTTCAATTGGGCCGCGTATCTTTTTCACGTAGATCAGGTGTAACAGGAACGGATGGTTGGATCGCGCCAGAAATGTTAAATGGAAATAGAACGACTTGTGCTGTGGATATTTTTTCTCTCGGCTGTGTTTTTTATTATGTTCTTTCTAATGGAAAACATCCATTTGGAGATCCATTACGGCGACAAGCTAATATTCTTTGTAAGACACATAATACTTTATTTTTTCGAAATTTCTTTTCAATTTATCGTTAACGAGATTATAATTATGAATCAATCATTTAATCTTTATCTTCGTTTTAATTTTAACTCGACGTATCATAGGCGGGGAAAATGACTTAACAGCTCTGCACGATGAAATTTCCCAGAATGACAAAGAGTTGGCGTTAATACTTATAAAAGCTATGATCGCAAACAATCCATCGGAACGACCCCCGGTTATGGCTGTTCATGATCATCCAATATTTTGGGAACCTGCTAAAATCCTTGGATTTTTTCAGGTATTATTGTATTTTTTCTTATATTTGAAATTTATAAATTTCATGATTTTTTAATTAGGATTTTTTAATAGGATGTGAGCGATCGAGTAGAAAAAGAGGAAACGAACAGTCCGGCATTACTCGCATTAGAATTTGAATGCAATCGTGTGGTGCAAGGAGATTGGAGATTGCTTATCGATGTAGAAGTTGCAACCGATCTTCGAAAATACAGAAGTTATAGAGGTGAAAGTGTTAGAGATCTGCTGCGAGCATTGCGAAACAAGGTTCGAATATTAAATTAAATAAAAGCTGAAACCGTTGAAATCCGTTATAAATATTCATTAATCTCAACTATTTATCGTAGAAGCATCATTACAGAGAATTAAGTCAACAAGCTCAAGAAAGTCTTGGATATATTCCTGACAAGTTCACCGAATATTGGCTTTCTAGATTTCCCTCTTTGCTTTCGCACGTTTGGTGCGCTATGCAAACTTTCCGTAACGAGCCAACATTAAGAGATTATTATCATGCCGATTACACATTTGCAATTATCAGCGAAGGAGAATCTTTACAAATTAAGAGTACACATCCATCAAGTTATATTTCTTGCAAAGTTCAAGATAATATCGATTGGAGTCCAAATAGGACGAGATACCGAACTCAAAGAAAAAAATACGAGAAAAAAAAACTTGATATTCCAATTGCTTGGACCTTACCTTCGAATTAGAGACAGAGTTTTAAACTCTTAGGAGTTTAGAGGCACTATTATTATAGTGTTTTATGAACCGATGTACGTGTTGTATATATATCCATTAAGAAAAAAATGAACGAACGAACGTTTTAAAAATTATAACGCGCTCAAAGGTATCGAACATCGCTGAAAACTACCAAACGACGTAGAAAATTTAAAATATTTGTAAATATTATGCGATATTATTGTAGTAAAAAAAATTTGTAAAAAAAAATAACAAAAAAATAAAAAAAAAAGAATAACGTTATAATAAAATAAGAAAATAATTAGCTAAAAAAAAAAATCTAAGCACAAAGTTCGAACAGTTTTAACGACACATGATAAAATATTTTAAATTGTGATCATATCGAACGTAAAAGAAGTCCAAAGATATATTTTTTTTCTTTTCATTTCTTTTCCCATTAAAGACACAAAAGAAATTTATCTTATGCGATACAAATAATAAGTTTTACATGTACATATCAACGGTGCGTATACCAATTATATAATTCTCATTTATATATCGTATGCGCACATAATTTATTCTAAATATTCATATGTACAATTACACATACGGTTTCTCATTATCCCTTCACTTATTTCAATGACGATATTTAACAATGCGCACATTTATTTTAAGACATGTAATTAGAAAAATATTTTTCAGGTACACTGAATCTCGTTAATCGCGAGAACTCATCAATGTAATATATAATAACAAAATCTGTCTTTTATTCTCACTTGATAACGCGTAGATTAATACACATATAGTCATTCGATTTATCATTTGTTTCGAACTTGGACTAGAGCGAACTATCGAAATTTGAAATAATATTATTAGATTCATACAAAAACTCGTTCGTTTTTTTTTCTTTTTCTTTCTTTCTTTTTTTTTTTTTTTTTTTTTTTTAGATCGAAATAGAGAAAAACGTTCTGTTTTGTAATATCTTTTTCACAGTATCAGCGTTCGATCGATCCGCAAAAATACAACAAAGAAAGCTCAAGAAAATATTTTGTTTCGATAAAAATGTGCAATGTATTTTTACTTTTACTTAAGAAATTAATGGAAAATTTAAATTTATAAAAAGAAACGAACTTTTGCACCGATCAATAATACGTTCCATAGATGAATAAACGAAAAACTTATTTCGCTTTAATAAAAAAATGTAACGAGTAAGTCTGTAATAAGATAGATGATCAAGAATATCAACTCGATACGGACGCGTATTAATATTATTAATATTACACGTATTGATACGCGTGATATATGTATATATCACAATATGTGTACATATAGTTTAAGTTGTAAAAATCAATGCACATTGGTCGTTAGATGAAATTATGAGAAATTTATCAAACAAAAATATTTTCAATTATTCTATTCAGGAAAGAGGTTTCCGAATTTTTTCCGTTTTTTCATCTATAACTTTCTTTTGTATCCTTTCTTTTTCGGTTCTAACGAATTCAGGATCATTCCAATATTCGACTTCTCCGCTCGCGTACAGGACAAAAATTATATTGGTTAAAACAAAAACGCCGAAAACAATCCAAAATACAAGTCTCCATTCGTGAAGAGCCTGATTCGGAGTCAATATGCTAACAATATACGGTGTTAAAATACCGGTAAAAGCGCCTATTCCATTTACCAGAGCCATTAAAGTACCGGAGTAATTTGGACTAAGATCTAGAGCATTTACCTTCATTCCTGGATAAAATGTTCCTAAAAAAAAAAGAGTAAGTAAATCGAATATTAATAATCTTAATTCGATTAAAAATTCTGAAGCATTAAATATATGTGTGTTATATATGTTGTATTATGATGTGTTAATATATTATTATCGAGATATCTTTAGAGAATCAATTTAAGAGAGGAAAATATATATATATATATAAAATTATTAATTATTTATTAAATTATCGCGCATTATATAAAAAAGAAGACGAAGCGAATAGAACAAAACAACTTTATCTCCGTTATATTTTATCCGCCACCGCTTTTCTTCATCACGCGTACTTTTTATAATTTAATAAATAAATTTTCCAGCATTAAACCGATATTCTAACATTCTTTCATATTCGTTTCGTATCTCAGGGATCGATTCTTCAAAAGTATCCTATGAATATATCAATACATACCCATTAGCGTTGTGCCGAGAGTGAACATAATAACAACAGTTGTCTTGTCACATTCGGCATAAGATGCACCAAGAATGAATGCTCCTGGTCCGAGCGAGGCAATCGTAGTACCTAGTTTGCGTACATTTGTACGTGACATCAGGCCATTTGTGATCATCCAATCAGCTAGACAGGATGTTATCGTACTGCAAATCCACATAGTTAAATATGGTAAAGCGGAAAGAAATCCGTTGTGATCGATCGAATATTTGAGCACGTCGCTCATGTATTTCGGAAGATCGTTGACCAAGGTGAAAAAACCCCAATCATGACCAACTTGTGCCGCTATCAATGCCCAAAGCGGTGTAGATTTAAGAAGGTGTTTCCAAGGCACCGAGGGTGGTTTTTTATGCGTATGCGCTCGCATTCTTTCTTGTAGAAAGATTCGTTCTCTTTCGGAAATAAACGGATGCGTATCCGGATTATTATAACATATCACCAACCATAATAAAAACCAAAGAATTCCGATACTACCGAACACGTAAAATACAGCTGGCCATCCTATTATCGAATATCGAAGAATAACACCGGATAAAGAGTTTGCAAATACCGTGCCAAGTTGAGCACCAGCAAATACCAATGAACCGATCATAGATCTTTCCTCCGGTGGTGTCCATTGTGCGAGCATCGCATTTAACGCCGGAAATGTCGTTCCTTCACAAAGGCCCATTAATAGGCGTATAACGATCAAACCTGTCGCTTCTCCAATTTCTACGGTGATCGGTGTAATCAACGTGAAAATTCCCGTCGCCAATATACCCAAACCAAGCGAATATTTTCCACCAAACTTTTCCGATAGCATTCCACCAGGTAAATGTGTTATCACATAACCCACGTAAAACGACGATAAAATAATACCCTGATTGAAAAAAAAATTATACACGTGAATCCAAAGTATAATATATCGTAATTAATCAATAAACATTACACAAATATACATCAAGTATACGCATTTTATAAGATATATAAAATTGCGCCTGTATCTTTTACCTGCATCATCTCGTCCCAATCGTATTTTTTCGCGTTCGATGGCTTTACATCGTTATCGTCTATTCCATTTTCCGTAGTATTTATCCCACAGGTATATCGATCGTTATGCGTCGTATTTTTCATTGGGATTACCATTTCAGTAATTGTAATCGATAAACAAACACGCATCGCATAGGCATTGAATAATGCTAAAAATCCCATTATCGCAAATATCCATCGTTGCGGTATTCTTCCACCTGTTTGCATATAAACAAACTCTTATCGTATTATAATAGTATGGATAAATAAACTCACGTTTTACAGAGAAGAAAGCCCGAGGTCAACAGCGCGGAAGGAATGACGATTAGCGGCAAAGCCTTTCCCTATTGGCAGCTGTCTAACGAACCGTACAAACTTATCTAGGTAAAGGTCAAATTCCTTATACGTATCACTAACTTGGGCATCGAATAATTTCGATTTCGATTTATGCGTTATATTAAAAGGGTAATCGGTCGAATCAAGAGAAATCTAAGAAAGAGAAGCTAAGAAAGAAAAGAAGAAAAAGGACAAGAGCGACGTATCTATATACACGTTATTATACGTATACGTATATAAGAGCGAGAAGTTGGAAAATGAATATATACGAAGTAAAAGGTTATACAAGATGTTTAGATTTCTATAACGATACATGCGATTCGTTTTTATATAATTATATAATTATAAGTCAAATCGAAATAAAGTCAAAAACAATGCACTTTACAAATAATCGAAATTTCATTCGAATATCGTACAGCAAAGGAAAATTCGAAATATAATAATAATAAAAGAACGAAAAAAATGAGATAAAAATTGATGAAAAAAATCAATTTCTTTTCTTTATATTCAAATAAACAAAATAATACGAAAATAAATTAGATTAAAATTTGTACTTTCATTAATAACGAAACGTTAAAGAGATGACTATAAATACAAATACATATATTCATATTCGAAATTTATGAAAATAGCGCGAGTTTTTTTTCGCATCACAGAAGAAGATGATAGAGCGATGATAACGATAAATAGAACAAAAAGTTATCAAGTTAATGGGGAAATAAAATATTTTTCTCAAAATAAATGTTAAAAAGATTAAGAACAAAAAAAAAAAAAGCAAAGAAACAAAGATATACACGCGTTTCCATCGATTCGTTTTATTAACGATCACCGATCAATCAACGAAACAACGATAATCGAACGAATATATATATTTTTGTTACTCGATTCTTTAATCAAATATCAGACCTAGCATCAACGAGTTTATCTTATCTATCACAATATACGGAAAATCCAAATACAAGAAGCCAAAAAGTACCAATAATATCTCGGTGCGATTTATTCCGAACGATTATATCGGTAGACCGAATTGTTGATTCGTTGTAAAGATAACGTAAAGCGATTGTAAACTTATTTCGATTTGTGACGAATTATAGTCTTTTCATATATATACGAAACAGTTATTTTCCTTACTTTTAATAAAAAAAAAAATCTCTCTCTTTATAAATCGAACCACAATCTTATTTTTCATCTTTATTATACGTTTATTTCTTTTAACATACGTACATACGTTTTATTTTGTTTAACGCATTTTTAGAAAACGGTGTTTTTTTTATCGCATTCATGATTTCACAAAAATATTCACGAAAAGAAATTTAGATATATATTAATAATAATAATTATTTAAACATATCAACTCGAGAAGATCTATAAAACAAAACAAGATTTTTTATCTCGTTTTTATTATCTTACGAAATTGTTTAACGAAATAATTTTACGAAATAAAAAATCATTTAACCATAAGAATTTAACCATAAATTTATAAAATGCATTAATGGATTTAAAATGAATGTTCCAACGATATGTCATTATGTATATTTCACGTACAAGTATTTCGTCGGTCGTTATTTCCACAATCGAGATAAAACTACGACGTTACAACATATTAATATTAATTTTTAATACGTTTTTAATATTAATTTTTAATCTCGTTTTTATTATCTTACGAAATTGTTTAACGAAATAATTTTACGAAATAAAAAATCATTTAACCATAAGAATTTAACCATAAATTTATAAAATGCATTAATGGATTTAAAATGAATGTTCCAATACGATACGTCATTATGTATATTTCACGTACAAGTATTTCGTCGGTCGTTATTTTCACAATCGAGATAAAACTACGACGTTACAAGATATTAATATTAATTTTTAATACGCGTTTCTTTCGATACACGTAATTTTTACAAATTTTTTTTAATAATAATCGATACTTTCTTCTATCTTATAAAATATAAATTAGAATATTAAATTAGAATATGCAAAGTAAATCGGTATTTCATCGATGTCCTGTTCGAACATCATCATCAAAATCTACAATAACGATATAAATATATGTAAATTAAAAAATATAAAATTCTGCTAAAGATAAATAACGATATAATATTTGTAAATAATTTTGTAAATAAAATAACATCAATTAGAAATATTTAAATTTTAACGAAATTAACAAATTTCAATATCAGATTTATAGATTCTGCTATTAGATACTTACAACATAGTTTGCAGGTAGATAGCATTATGCGAATGAAAATATTCTTCGACCGTAAAAAATATTCTTTAACCGTTAGAATAAAAAGTACACAAAAATTATATTTTCGAAGATCGAATATAAATCGCTCGAACGATTCGAATTATGTTCTTATTTCATTATCACGTTCAATACCGTTAATCCAGAAAAAAGACAATCCGGACGAATTTAATCAAGAAGAAGATCACGATTGTTGCATCAACAAAAATGGTAACAGATATACTTAAATAATATTCCTATGACATGTCGCGATCGACTGAATCGATGCTGTCGGTGCGAATTCATTTTATAGCAGTACTTACACGTGCTCTTCACTAAAAGCAAAAAGGGAAAGGAACCGTGGATAAGACGCTTAGCATGTAGTAAAAGTTGACGCGGGAAAGGTATATCCAACATCGAAGGGGAATGATAACGTGCATATTACACGCGTATCTGTATTTGATATTTTTCGTATATATAAGGATACCTATCACGTAATCGTATACACGTTCAAACGAAGGAATAAAACAATTGACAAGACAACAAATAATTTAAATTATTTATTTTAACAGCAATATTAATATAAAAATTGAACTTTACGATCGATATATTCTATCAAGGAACAGGACGAAGAATAATTTTGATAATTTTAATCGAAATAAATTCTAGTTTCAATAGAATAGATAATACAGCTATGCCAAGGATTTGAAACGATTCGATAAATAACGAGTACAATAGCTATACAGCGATAAATAGTAACGAGTAACGATAAATATCAAGCATACTATATAATATACGTTTAATCCTTAATTACTTATATTCCAAGATAAAAAAAATCGATATTAATCAACGTTACAATTCATAAATTTCACTTAACATACAATCATTTGTAATAAATTTTTTTTTTTACAGTTTACATATCATTATGATATGTTTCGATTCTATCATTATGATTTTTACAATACAAATACAAATACAAATACAAATACAAATATCTTTTATAAAAAATAATTATAAAGTTATCTCACAAATATATCTTATTATATCTTTGAAAAAAAAAATATCGATCCTCGTTTTATTTCGATCTCTATCCAAATATCGCATCGATGCTCTTTCTTTCTTTTTAAAACAGTTTTCGTCAAAAATGACATCGCGTAACGAATTTACGTTTATTTCTAAATCTAATAGTTATATCAACGGTTTATAAATTATGCGAAATAACGATCGTTACGATTACAAGATATTACATAATCTTTTTCCTCGATACCATTATAAGATCAACGATAATTCCTCTTACCTTTAATATCGTAGGATTAACACGTCGCCGATAAAATCAACCAAGACGATATAAATTATCATAATGCGATATAATCGCCTCTTATACACTTCGCTTAATAACTTTTGTTAATGTCGGATTATTATCAAACGAATTGTCAGTTCCATTTTTAGCACACGATATAACGTCGCTTAATTTGCAACAGAAAACAAAAATGGAAAAAACGGAAAAAATAAATAAAAATAAAAATAAAACAAAATAAACGTAGATAAAAGAAAATAACTTCATCGAAAGAAAACCCTATTCATATTTGTTTTAAAATATAAAATAATTTTATTAAAAAAAAATAAAAGATCACATCATTAATCATCGGATAAATAAATAACACTATTTTATTATTTCTTATTTTTTAGAGTATACTCTTAATTTTTTATTTTCTTTCCTTTCTTTACTTTCTTATAAATATGAGGTATTTCACGTACCAATCGTGTACTTTCTTCTTTCGCTTTAGTTACAGCTTCGTCCAATTCGTGTATCTATAAAATTTATACATTTTTTTCCTTATATTTTGCATATTCAATAAAATAATTCTATCTCTAATTTTAAAAAGATACTCACGCATTCCTTAACCATATATCTTTTAAACAAATCGAATAATTCATTCACAGTCCAAGTAGTCTCATCCGATTTTCCCAATCTAATAAAGGAACATTGCGACTCATGTTTCATATGTTCATTCCTAGAAGCAATTAAAATAAGGTTATGCGATCAATCGATAAATCAAAGAAATTAAACGAACAAGAATACAAAATTAGTTAAAAAATTAAAATTATTCGCATTCCATAATTAATTATTAAACAAATAAAATAAAATAAAATAAATATACCAGGGATCATCATCCGGATCCCAACTATCAAGTTGTTTGGAACAAATAAAACATTCAACCAAATCGGGTTCTTTCTTACCACCCACTACATAAAAACCAGCAGCAGCCATTCGCTCGGGATTGCACGAATTGTCAGAAGATTGAAACGGCCAATCTTCAAACGTTTTTAATCTACCAATTTTCCAAAACGTCGAATTATGTTCTCTAAACAAAAGACGAAATCAAAATTAATCAAGGTTATGACGCATCGTCGACCACGTAGAACAAAAAGATGTAAAAATGAATCAAATAAAATGCTACTCACGGTAATAAATCCATAATTTTAAAATAAAATAATTTCAATCTTTAATAAAACACATTCACGATAAATACGCAAGTATAAATATCGTTACGGTGAAATCAATGGCGTCCTTTTTAAACACACATCGCAAGTGATGCAATCTACATCGATCGTTGCGCTTATTACCGATAAAAATTATTTTATTCACTCGCGTTGAATACTAACGGACAATAGACGTGTATACGATACGTACGTATAAAATAAAGTCAATCAATCACGTATCCCTTGTCCACAGATCGGACAAGCATAGAACAGATTCAATATCACGGATCAGACGCAGCGAATAGACGTTCACAACATTCAACGGAACTTCGCGTTCCACGCTTTCAAATACCGATCGTGCAAAAATCAAAGCGTTCGGTATGCCCTCTACAATTCGAAACGACGACGAAATTCAATTCCATCATACGAATCGATAAAAATCGAGAGATTTTGAAAATAACTTCTTTCATAAATATTATTACGCGTATTATACGTATCAGATTGTATTCTCTACAATTCGAAACGACGACGAAATTCAATTCCATTATACGAATCGATAAAAATCGAGAGATTTTGAAAATAACTTCTTTCATAAATATTATTACGCGTATTATACGTATCAGATTGTATTCATACATCAATTATTATTACGAATAGTAAAAAGAGTCGTATATAAGTTGAATCATTCATAAATTAAAAATTCACTCGTAAAATTTTTTTTTACAATATAACGCAAATAATATCAATTCGCGAGATCTTTCTATAAAAATTCGTCGCATTTCCGAAAACTTGTCATATCCGATTTAAGTAAAATTTTAACAATATCATTTTACAAAAATATTTTTATAAAAATAAAATTATTTCGATTTAACTGAAATTTTGAAAATTGATTCTTTTTAAATAATAAGATAAAAACAGTATTCGCGAGAAGAATTTTTGACGATTCGAAAGTTAAAATTAAAACATTTTTCGAAAAAATGTTTACGTTTTTATGTTTTTACGTTTGCCGTAATTTCAATTTCTACGTTACCGACACAGGATTATGATATAAATATATCATAATCTCAAATTGTTAGCGACATTTCAACATTTTTTTTTTTTTCAACAGTTCATTACTTTCGAAAGATCATCGCTCGATATATTTTTTTTTATCACAAATGTTATTTTTCTTTTCTTTTTTTTTTTAGTACGCATAGTTTTTTGCATCGACAAGCGATAAACGAAGAACGGAGAAATTTAATAAGGAAGAAATATTCGGACATTTGACAAATTTATATTAATTCGTTTAAACAGCAATTTTTTTTATAAAAAAAAAACTAAATCGAGTTTATAAATCGCGTTTAATTTTTTTTTTCTTTCGCGACACATTTCGAGCAATTATAATACATAACATTAAAAAAATTATCTTTCCTCGATAACGAACTTTACACTTTATATTCCATTTTGTATTCTTATTCTAAACAAATTTATTATTTACTATATATTTTTTTTACATATACATTAAAAATATCTATGTATATATTTTTCTTAATATATATATATATATTTAACATATTCGACGGTTCATTTATCATATAAGAATATTTATGCAACTATGCTTAACTCGTTCCTTATCTTAGTTCAATAACATAATATTTAGACATTTTGCAATGCATCGCAAATTAAAATTAAATTTTTCTTTGATTCATTTCGTAACGTTCAAACAATATCAAATCAACATACTTTTCATATTCAGTACGCGTCAAATCAATAAAATTTTCAATTATAATAATATATTTACATATTCCGTTATAATATATTTAATATATTTTTACAATAACATACGTAGGCCAAAATATACGATCTATCGATTTATGACTCGAACATTATAGATAAAAAAGAAAAAATGCAATTTTAATCGAAGGGAATCGAACATATATAGACAACAAATTTCGCATAAATATTTCTATACGATAAATCGAATCGATCGGATATGTGAAAAACAATAACGTATATTAAAAAAAAAATAATAAATTCGTCTAAAACAAAAAAAAAAAAAATAAATAAAATACGAAATCTATTATCAACAAAAAAATAATTTTTAATTTCAATTTTTAATATTTATCACTCAAAAAAAGAAGAAGGAGAATTTCATCAATCGTAATTAAAATCATTTTATTATTCTTTTTTATTTTTAACTTTTAAACGGAATTTCAATTTTTGAATTTTTGAATTTTCCATTTACGGTTCATATAAATCAATATTTTATTTCGTATCAGCACTCGAGACTAAAAGAAAAGAGAAATTTGAATTTTTTTGAATTTAATTCTTTTAAAATTCTAAATTTTAAATCATCGTTAAAATATCGTGATAATTAACGTTATATCATTATTGTTTCAGACAAAGAAAAATGAAGGAAAAAAGAATGAACAAGATAAATGTGATTCGATGATCTCTTTATTTTCTTTTTTTTTTATTTCTCTTTATCGTTCGTTACATTTTTTTTCTTAAAAGCGTATTTATACAATTATTTTCCGTACACAAGTTTTATTATCGTTTCCTAATTTTTATTATTATCATTATTTTTCTTTATATTCGATTTATGGTTTACGCGATTAATGCGATTAATACGATTAACGGTATTTCAATTCGATGATTTAATTTTAATGATATTTTAATATTCCAATATTAAGAAAAAAAGAAAAAACATGTAAATCGGAAACGAAATTAAATAAAAGGAATCGAATGATTCGAAGTTTTTGTTTTATTTATCGATTTTGATTATTATATTCTTTTTTTTTTTTTTTTTTAATAAATCTCTATTTATCGGTTAAAGAATTATTTTTTTTTTACGTTTCGATTCGTTTCGTTCTTCATTTTATTTATATAGAATAGTTTAATTTCTTTTTTTTTCGTTATTAATTTGAGATTTATAAAAATTCATCAATATTTTTTCTTTATCTTTTCTTTTATTTTAATTTTTTAATCATTTTTGTTTGAATTATCGTTCGAATTATCAGTATCTATTAAATCTATTTAATCGTGAAAATTTAGTTATGCTTTCTTTTGATAAAGATATTTTTTATATATTTTTGACCAATTTATCGTTTTCTTTCCCTTTTATTATTTGCTGCGCTTTAATAATTATAACGATAATAATTAATAACTTTAATTACTATATTCCTTTTTTCAATCTTTTCGTTCGTATTTATGATTTTTGTTTTAATTTTCGGTACAATTTTGAATTATTTTTTCTTCTTTTTTAATAGAGGAATTTTTACTGGAAGTAAAAATAGACGAAATAAAAAGAAAAAAAAAAAAGAAAAATACGATGGAAGTTAAATTTTTTAGAAGAGATATCGAAAAATAGATTGAATTTGAAACGTGAATCAAGTAATCGATAGATAGGTCACTGACAAATGATGCGTCAATGATTTTCGTTTCGATTCTTTTAGGAATTTAATTTCTTTTTTTAATAAAAATGTTTTTTCTAGCGATCGAACGATGGAGTTTCTACGATTGGCAAGGATAAAAAAAAATAAAAATTAAAAAAAAAAACAAACGAAAAGTATTCTCGAGTATCTAAAATAGCCGAAAATTAGAAGTTTTCGTTAGAGGGATTGTGGCTAAGTTGGAACGCTGCTTTTTCCGCACGCCGAAGAACTCGAGTTCGAGACTCGTCGGAGTTCTTTCGCGAGCGACGGACAACTTCTTAACTTGCCACGAAGGAATGACCTTCGGTCGTCTTTCTCCCACAGGGATTAGGGACGTGTGTCATACTCTCGGGTCCGGGGGGTTTTTCATCCAGAGGGACCACCCCCACTCTCTCCAGTTCGTGCTTCCTTCCTCCGGGCCGGACTGAAATTTTGGAGGAGGCACAGGCACAGGTGGAGGATGGAAGGGGAACGTTGCAACTTCGTCTCTTACCGGCTTTTGCTCGCGGGTAGAGGGAGCGAGGTTGTGGCTACTCTCACAGCGAGATATCAGCTTAACGGAGTGGAAAGGTATCATCGGGTGTTTAGCGGTAACATGAAAAAGCGTCGGCATGTATCAATAATTAAAAAAGTAAGCGAAAAGTAAAAAGAAGAAAAAGACTATAGTAAATAAAAAGAAATATCTTTTATTTCTTTAATCAAAAGAAATTAAGAAATATAATTTTGAAAAAAATTATTTATGGTTTATAGAAGATTGACAGAAATTTAAAATTTAATATCTAAGGAAAAAAAAGACTAGATTTAAAAAAGCGATGAATTATAATTAATAAGGATTAAAGGATTAATAATATATTTGGAAAGTTTAAAGAAAGAGAAAGATCAAACGTTGAAGTCATTTATTATCGGAATATTTAAAACGTGGAAGGGGGAAGAAAGAAAAATTGAAATATGAAAATTATTATTTTAGGAACAGATTAATAAAACGAATGGATAGTAAGATTTAATTATTTAAAAAGAAAATTGAAAGAATAGTTTATAAAGATATCTAAAAACAAAAAAATTGATAATCGAAATATTTAAGAAATAAAGGAAGAAGAAATTGAATTTAGAAAATAACGATTTTATTTACGATTTAAAAGAATGGAAGAAAAAAATTATTACTGGAATATTTAATCAAAAGAGAATATTAAACATAATTTAAGTGGAATATCGGATGTAATCGAAAAAGGAATAAAATAAAGGAATCGAATGATCGAAAGTTTTAATTATAAATGTTAAATATCGTTTTCTTTTTCTTTCGATTCATTCTTTTTATTATTTTATGGTGTCGTTACATTATTCCGTCGAATCGATATTAATATCTGTATACTTTCTTTTTATAAATTAAAATTTATTAGTTTATATCACAATATAATATATCTTTACATTTCAATACTTTATTGATCGAACGATTCGATACACTCGAATATTCTATTACATCGTACAGCGTTAAAATTTATTCGGAGAGCAGAAACACGCAGATCCGTCTCTTTCCGCATTCGGAAACCGACTACGTTTAGTCGAAACGTATACAATAACAATCGAAATATATGTCTGTTTTCGTCCGCGTTCGGAGAACGATTAAATTTAATCAAAACGTATATAATAATAATCGAAAGCATACATCTATTTCCTTCCGCGTTCGAAAACCGATTACAAATAATCGTATATATATAAAGGATGCGATATTATGCCGCGATATATGTTCCCTACAATATTCGTAACAATACTAATAATTAACTTATTATTAATTTTTATTGAGAATAGAAAAAATAGTTATTAGTTATGGTTACTACAATTATGATAATTATTATTATAATACAATGGTTTGTTTATATTATTACTATCCAATTCATTAATATTATC